TATGCACGCACACACTAAGCCGGAGAGTACCCACGCATGCAAAGGGGTAAAATGCAAACTCCCTGCAGAAAGACCTTGGGCCAGGAATCAAACCTGGAACCTTCTTTCTGCAAAGCAACACTGCTACCCACTGAATCCTCAGAGCTTAACAAAATTACATTATTTCATGACATGTACTATGTGTGACTCATGCTAATGACCACGGCCTTATATGTTTTGGGTTTTATAAAGGAAAGCTTCTGCTTTTCGCTACCTTTGTGTAACTTTTTTATTTGTAGTTTTTTTTTTTTGAAGGCTGTAGTCCTAATTTGACCAGCATGACTTACGTTTGTGTCTGCTGCATGCGACATCACGTGAATGCATGATGTCATTCGTAAAGCTATAGGCTGACCTGATTCAGCTCAGTGGTCTGGAAGTCCTTTTCTACCCTAGATACCCTGGATGACACAGAAAAGGGTGAAGGGTTAGGAGCTACAGGTAGTGTTATTTGTTATTTGTCCAGTGTGAGCGAACACAACCGAGGGTGTAATTTGTTAGGAAGTCAGGAGGGGTTATGATACTCAGCAAAATAGTAGCATGCTTAATATTTATTAATTAATTATGTAAACAGTGCCAATCTCATGAAAGAAAACATGAAGTGCATGTTTGTTAAAAAGATGCATTTATGTTCCATTTGATCTAAAATCAGTTAGATTTATTTATATTATTTTGAACTGCCACATACCTTTTTCTCTCTTTATTATATTTTTTTCCATTAAGGCCAGAATTTTCAAGTTCAGCAAATAAGGGTGTGAACAAGTTTATGTGGTATAAATATTTTTCCTAGACACTGCAATTTCTCTCATTTATTATCTCAATAATACCCTTAAAGCACTTCTAAGACTAAATCTATTCAATCAATTACATCAACCTATTAGCTCTTCAACTCAACAGTCATGTTGAGGGTCCTCTTTCAGAGAGCGCCCTAAAGGCTCGTCTGTCACCACAGAGGAGGGAGGGCCGTCCTAAGTTACACCACCCAGTTCGTGTTCAGCTGAACTATTTTCTTGTTTTGTTTTTTCTTTTTTTTCTGGATTAATCAGAAAGTTTTCTTGAATTAGGGAATAGTTTAAAGCTTTCAATTCTGCTGTCGAAATCAAATGAATGGATTTTAACAGACTTTTTTAATGTTTGAACAAGAACCCACTGCACAGAATTTGGTTAAAACACATTGAAAAGATGACAGAATTTACATCCAAATCACGTCTACATCTGGTTAAAAAGTGAAAAGCTGGAATTTTCAAAATCCAGTTTTCAACGTTATTTCAAGATAAGTCATTGGACTAAAGTGGGACAAAATCAGACCGACCAAACGAAGCCCAATCTTCAACAACTACTTCTCGACTAAATAAAGACTATGATGGACCGACTATAGATTTAGCCTAAAAGCCAAGATCTAAACGATGTCTTGTGTTTGAGGGGGAAGATCTTAAACATCTTCAGCCAGATCAGAACGGTGCTGCTACACTAACTGAAAAAGAAAGACAATACTCTAATCTTAATGTCTTTACATTGGCCTCTGGTACATTTTAAACTTGCAGTCCTTACATTTAAGCCCTGTCAGGTCAAACCCCAATCTATATCTCTGACCTGCTATCCATACACCTCTTCTTACAGTTTCCAAGTCCTAAGTGGTTTCCTTAACATAAGACCATATAAAATAAGTTATTTAGAGTCTCCAAATTGCAGAATGACTATGTAACAGCAGTCAAAGCAAACAGGGCAGAAAGAAACAGCCTATTGGACTGAAATGCTCTTGTTCACTCAGCTCCCCACACCTAGAACATTCTTAATTAAACATTTAAATTAACAAACCCATCTTACTGAGAGCTTTTACTTTTAAACTTAAAATTCTCAAAGCTGGACCTCTTTTTTTTCTTTCCGAAGTCTTTCTATTAATAAGTCCATTTTGTGCTGTATTTGTTGGTGCCCTTGACCAGGACTTCCTTGTACATTAGTCTATTTATTTCACTTGGAATATTCTTATTAAGGTGATGAAAATGCTTATATACATAATATATATATATATATATATATATATATATATATATATATATATATATATATATATATATATATATATACACAAACAGACTCAGTAAAGTTATAAATGGAATAAGATTTCAAACAAGTTTGATCATGGGGCATGCTTTAGCTTAGAAATCCCCTCTTCAAATCTGCAACATTTGCATGTGAATGAAAAAAAACCCAAAGAAAACACTCACATGAATAAGAACACAGAAAAGTCCTTTCTATTACACCTCCTTTTTTTTCTCCAGTTCTGGTGAAATTCTTGCTTGACTAATATAGTTTGCAGCTGCATAGAGTTCAGCCTTTAATAAACAGCTAAACAGCGCCACCCTCTGTTCATCAACAGTCACTGTACCAAGGAAATGACAGCCCTAAAATGGAGATCTGCTGACACCTGGTGGATTCCTTCTGTTATGACAACTGGACCGTACATGAAATAAGAAATATTCTAGAGAGAACTTTGACAAACATTATTTAATAATAATGATTTTTGCAATACAAAAACATTTGTGCAAAAACAATCGGGCGAATTACAAAGAAAAGGCCTAACTTGGTCAATATGCTAATAAACCTAATGTGAGAATAAAACTGTGTTGGTTCTTAAAAAAAAGGACTAAAAAGGCACATTTATGATGGTTCTGCAAAAACAAAATAACTCAAACAGACCTTATAAAGATTCACAGTCTTGTGTACAAGTGGTTTTTGCACTTACACATCTGTTTCGCGGTGGAAGTGAACAAACTCGGGTTTAGGTAGCTCCGTCTACTTTAGAAAAAGAAACAAACAAAAAAAAAAACAAAGCAAAAACAAACACAAGACAGGCGTCTTAATCATAAGTAAAGTTGTACTTCATAAAATAAAATAAAAAATGTGTAAACCCCCCCCAAACTTATGACTTAAAATCACCTTTGTGCAAGTTTAACTTGTTTCCTATCGAAATTCATAAAGCAGAAATTTTGTCTAACTGTCCTTTTTGTTTGCAGCACAAAAAAACAGTCAAACACAACTGATTGTTAGCCTTCTAACAGAGATAAGTAACACACACACACAGCCCAAAGTATCTTTGTTAATATTTGCATTTTGAGGATTATCAAATAAAAAAGGGGGATGATGATAAACTGCTGTTAAAAAAAAAACATGAAAAAAGCTTCATATTTATAAATTAATTGACATTACTATAAAAAAAAAAAAATAGAGTACAGAGTTCAGCATTTACCAAACACACACTTCTTCATTTTGGAAAAAGGTATCAGAGAGAATGTAAGCCACTATGACACTGACGAATAAATACAGATGTAGAAATAACAGACAAATTTGATTTATTTTCCCTCCCTCGCTACTTAGGCCACTTGCTTGTTACCCAGCATGCCCTGCAAAATGCATTAAGTACACTGTATTCACAGGACCTGGTACATGACGCACAGACGATGACTTCCAACTGTTTTCAGATACCCTAGAATGTTCCATAGTACCGTTATCTGCTACAGGTGTTGTGTATTTACAATAAACTTCCTACAATGATATCTTGGATGATTACTTTTCCTCAAAACCTAAAAAAAAAATAAATACAAACCCCACAAAGACACATCTGGAAAGCAACTCTTTAGAAAATAAAGCACTAAAATTGTTTAAAGAATTTAATTAAGAATTATTTTCAGGGTTGTGTGGGTTAGTTGTGAGCAAGCACAACCTTCCACTACCTTACCAACCCTTTCTAGATTGTTTTTTTGTTTGTTTTTCTTCTGAGTTACAGGTGTTTTGATTAGTTAAAGTCAGTCTTATTTTAATAGAAAGCGGTCAGAAGAATCTCAGTTTGGACAAAGGGAAAACATTCTCATAGGGGAGTCAACTGCGATTTCCACCATCCAACCCACTGAAAACAAAACCACAGGAGATTGGCTTTAGCTAAAACAGTTGTTAATAACACGGACTGTGCAATTTTTCATATATGTTGATAAAAAAAAATCCAAAAATAAACAAGAAACATACTGATACTAATAATTTATGACGTTGAAATGGAAAATGTAAACAGGAATAGTTTTTCTTCTAAAACTTTAATTTTCCGTCTTCATCAACCTTTTCTGCAAATGATAATAGCCATGCATAAAGAAGCATTTAGGGAGTACACTGCTGTTACAGGGTAGGTAGAGTTACATCAAATCCCCAGAAAGATTTAAATTAGACTAAGACCAGCAAAAAGTCATTGTTTGGTGGAAACATTAACTACAAAAGTTAAATGGAAATTTGTACTTATATTACACTGTTGAAATTCATTCTAGCATAGCCCCTGTTTTGATTAGTGACTACTATATGAGAACGTCTCGCTATATCTCCAAACTGGACTAGTTTGATAATGCTGACGAAAAAAAAATGTTTTTTTGGGGGGGACTCTGTAGCCATTTTAAGCAGAGGGGAGATGTTTTTTGATTGTAGAGGACGTTTCATCAACTTTGATTGAAAAAATAAAATAAAACAAACATTCAGCTGTCATTTTCGACGGTAAAAGATGTGAATGACGAGGGTATGTTGATGCTTGACCTTGACAATAACAAATTGAGCTGCATCCCCGTAGATGCCATCTCAATTCCTGTTGCTTTACAGTGAGGGTGGGGTCGGGTGGGGTGGGTGGGGGCTACACTCTAAGGCACAGAACCAAACATGTTGGAGTCTGGAGTCCAAAGGGTGGAGCAGGAAACCCACAGAAAGCCAGAAGATGGTCCTGCTTGAGCCAACGTTTCATTGCTTAGGCCGGTGTGGGTATTCTGGAACGCAGCTGAAAGGCACCGTGAGCGAGTTTCATGAATGTTTATGTCTCTATGTGAAACAGTCTATTAACAGAGTCACAAACTCACTGCCTGCAAGGGTCCAATAAAATCAACTGAACCAGGGTGGACTTGTTACTTATTTCAACCATAAGCTTAAAAAGTTCCTTTTGAATATATACTTATATGTATTTTTTTTCATTCACTCAACACTTTAATGTATTGTATTTACAAGGGTTACCATAGCAACATTGTTAAACCATGATACTAAGAACACTTTAAACAGTCAGACATCTCTTTGCAATACTTATGTAGCTGCAGCAATGCTTTTTTTTTGTTTGTTTTTTTTTTGTTTTTTTTGCACATTTAGCAGTGTGAACAAGCCTGCGCCTGTCTGGTCTCACTAAGGCCGAAGTTGAGCTGTGGTTCTCGCTCCCTGGCTGAGAGGCAGAACGTCTCATATGAGGTTCCGGAGCAGGAAGAGAGAGGGAACATTGCCCCGGCCTGTTCACAGGTCCGCGGTGATGACTGAGTCATTGTACATAATCACATCAGAGTCTGGAGTGAGCAGAGCTGAAGTTTGCGAAACGTGGTCAATTTGCGTCACCCCTTTTTGGGAGACTTGTCCGTAAACCTGACCCCCGCCGTTCCCCGGCGTGACGCAGTGAGAGAGGAGTGGCGTGTTGGCCTCGTGGTTGGAGCCCGTGGTGGAAGGCACCCCGCTGACGTGGCCCGTGCTGGTGGAGCCGCTGGCACTGCTGGGTGAGCGGCTTTTAGGAGGCGGCAGGTGGTGCTGGATGACTCTAGTAGGTGGAGCTGGAGGGGCAAAGTGAGCTGGGAAGGCTGCATATCCTGATGGGATGGGGTATCCATTGACAGGGATGAAGCGCTGATGGGTTTGTGGGACAGCCATTGGAGTCCAGGCAGGAATAGTCGCCATCTGCCCCGGTGCAGGAATGGCCTGGGCAGGGTAGAGGTATCCAGCGGTGGCGGTAGCAAAGCGAGGGTTGCTGAGGTTGCTGACGGGACTGGCACTGAGCGAGGTTGTCTGAGTGGTGGCGTTGCCTCCTCCACCGGAGGGAGTGCTGGAGCTGGCGTGGGAAGACAGCCCCTCCCAAGCTCGCAAGCGGCTGTGGATGTCTTTAAAGCGTGGTCGGCGAGCTGGTCCCTCCTGCCAGCATTCTGTCATCAAGCCATAAAACCTGAAAGATGGTAGACATAGGAAGTTATTCACTGACAAAAAATGCATTTTTTACGCACTAAAAAAAAAAAAAATCTACTTTTATGAGCATATAAGCTACAGACCCATACTCCATAATCCTCTAAGCATGACATCACCACAGTAAAACATAGCAGAAGTGGTGTCAGGCTTTGGGATTGTCTTTTGTCTGCAAGAACATGAAGTTGATGCCATTTACCAAAAAACTTTATAGTATTAAAATGGCCCAAAGTCCACCCTAAAGTTCACCAGGGAGCCTGTTAAGGGCTAGAAAACTTCTTTTCATTGAAGCTCAACGGTCAAATCTCACCAAGATGGAACCATTTTCCTGATAAGCATGCTCGAGATATACTGTACCAGACCTACAGAGTACCATTCCAGACTATTGAAGGAGGCCTATGGAAAGTTTGAGCTACATCTCCTGATCAGAAACCATGCAGTGACACACCTTGGTGGGCAGTCCTCCGGGCAGGGCAGCAACTGCCTCTTTCTCACCATCTCCATCACTTCCTGGTTGGAGAAGCCATAGTAAGGCTGCAGGCCGTAGCTGAAGAGCTCCCACAGAACCACCCCAAATGACCAGATGTCTGAGTCTGTGGTGAACTTCCCATAGGCGATGGATTCAGGGGGCATCCAGCGGATGGGCAGCAGAGTCTTAGGCTGGATGCAGTAGTAGTCAGAGGAGTAGATTTCTCTGGAGAGACCCAGGTCAGAAATCTTCACGTGCAGCTGTTCACCTACTAAAATGTTCCTTGCTGCCAGGTCTTTATGGATGTAGAAGTGACTGGCTAGATATTCCATCCCTGCAGCAACCTAATTGATAAAAAAAATATTGGGTCATCCAAGTCAGAAATAACAAAACAGCCAAATTACAAAGCAATGACAATCAAACACTAGTTTTAGCATGTCTTTATTTGTATCTTTTTATAATTTCTATTGCATTAAAAGATGATTCAAAGCATTTAACAACATCATGTATCATGTTGGTTGAAGTTACCTGTATGGCCATATGCAGAAAGTCTCCATGATCAAGACTGGATTTTACAGTGCCGTCCTCGTCACTGCTGCAGCCAACGTCAGAGTGCGGCGACCGCATAATCAGGAACTCGTGAAGATCTCCTTGTGGCAGAAACTCGAATAGCATGCAGGCAGGTTGCTCCTGCGTAACCACACCAAGGAGGCAGACCACATTCGGGTGCTGGAGCTCAGTCAGCACAGCAGCTTCCTGGAAATCAAGCCGAATAAATATCACAACTGTTTTAATGAACACACATGATCACTTTTTTTTCTGTCACAATGTGTGACAGCATAGGCGGATCTACTGGGGTGGCATAGGGTGGCAAATGCCACCCTAAATAACAGCCTTGCCACCCCAGCTGCCACCCCAGTTGGCGGTAGGGGTGGCGAGGCTTATAAATTATGGATCATTTGAGAATTACGACCGCTAATTTCTAATGTCGGACTGCAGTGAATGCAGCACGAGATGACGCGAGAGCGACTGAGACTGATTGTTTTGAAAACCGAATGGGGCAAAGCGAGGGAGCCAGGGGTGATGGGGAGAGGAGACACGGGATGAAACAGGTAAAAACTGAATAACTATCGAGAAATTAAATCATAATGAAAGCACAATGTTGCTAGCATAGCTGCAATGCTGATTTTGAGATGATAAAAATCAGGTTTTAGAACGTTATTTCTCTATCTATGATGTTAGTTAGGCCTGACGTCTCAGGCTCATAAAGACATATTTGCGGTCAACTCTGACAGAAAAGAGACGATCAAGTTTGGTTTTACTCAAATCAAAACGCACAAAGGCTTTGGATCTAAATACATTTGTGAAGCGTTTTGCTGAGCAACATGGAAATCGCTGCATTCAGCTGTTATAGTATAGTCATGTTAACTTTATGTTTTGCTCTCTGGTGAGCCTTTACAGAGCTGTTACATTTTGTTTTGGCACCTGAGAACATCTGATATTTCCTTTAATAAAACCAAAAGTGTTAAAAGTTAAAAATGTGATACTGGTGTAAATCCTGCTTGATATGAAGCAGTGTTGATGTTTCTTTTTTTGTATATATAATATGAAACTATCCAGAAATGACCCGTATGAACCTACTCACAAGCAAAATGTATTTTTATGTTGCTTCTTTTCAGATTTGTGGAGATTTTGATGTAACATACAGAACCCGCCTTTTTGTTGATTTGTTGATACAGCAGTATGGAGGACCAACTCTGCCATGTTTAAAAATAAATACATAATTAAATAAATGCTCAATAAATAAATAAGCATACAATTAATTGCCACCAAAAATACAAACAACAAATAAATGTAAGTAGAAATTAAATTATACAGCTAGTCATAAAGGTATATAACTCTTTTTTATTTCTTTGCCTTTTTAATATTTACCCTATTTATTTTTTTTGTCATTTATTATCTTCAACTTCATTTTTTAATTACTTATATTTTTAAGTATTTATTTATGTGCATGTTATAATATTTTTGTCTGTTTTATTCTTCCTTTGTATTTTTTTACCCTAGTTATTTCTTCGCCGCTATTTCTTTCTGCTTGCCCTTTTAACATTTCTGCCTGCCATTATAATATAATTTCTAATTACATTTATTTGTTGGTTGTATTTTTGGTGGCAATTAATTTAGGGCTGCAACAACGAATCGATAAAATCGATAAAAATCGACTTTTAAAAGCGTTGGCAACGAATTTCATCATCGATTAGTTGTGTCGCGCGATTATTGCGTCATCCGCCGCGCTGTCATCACTGCCTCTTGACTGAAAGAGGAAGAAAAAAAAAAAAAGGCAGAGCGAGTCAGCGCCGCAGGTGCAGTGTTGCCAACTCAGCGACTTTTCAGACCCCTCCAGCGACTATTTTTCAAAAAAGCGTTCTAGCGACAAATCTGGCGACTTTTTTCGGTGTCACTGGCGGCTTTTGGAGACTCTTACGTGAAAGCATGTATCGTTCCTACTCTGCCGTGGGGCGCCTCCCCCCGCTCCCGCAGGAGTCCCTCTCAGCTGCAGTCAGAGCCTCAGCGTCCAGACTGCAAATGAAGCGCGCATGCACCGGGATTGACGGCGCAAATTGATCACAATAATTAAAATAGCCTGCGCTTTGTAAAGCGAAAAAAGTGATAACATGCAACTTTTTTCAAAAGAAATTAACATGGCACGGAACCACCATGTTTGTTTGGTTTTAAAGTGGGAAAAACGTAACGTTAGTTTCTCAGGTAGCTCTTCTGATGCTTTCCTTACCGTGTTAGTAGGTTACAGACAGGGATAAGGTTGGCTACTTATTTTACCTTTAATTTCATTTGAATTAGCTTAAGCAGCGTTTATATTTTCTTTATAAATAAATTAACTTGCAAATTATGAGGGCAAGACTTTTAAAGTTTAAATCTTCTGGCAAAGATAAAGTAAAGAAGATCCTGCAATTTATGGAAGTAAAGCAGAATAAAATCCAGCAAGATCAGTAATATGTCAATTAATTATATGCCACATTCCCATGTAAATATCTTTCTTTGGAGGATGTGTTTTTTAGCACCCCTAGTTCTCTCATTTTTATTCCAAATACAATTTATAATTTGAATCACAGGGCTATTTTTATCTCTATGGTTCAGTATTTTCTCAAGTAGCAACTTTAACTGCTATACTTTCCTGTCTTAAAAGGCAGAACTCTTCTAGTCTAAAAAAACTAATTTGTTGAAATGGGGGGGCCTATTGTTTGAACCCCTTAGGGGCTTTTAAAAACAAAAATGTCTTTTTTTGCGCTTTATGAAACAAAGTACCCTATATTTTGTGGATGTACAGCTACATTTCTCATGTAAGTTTGCGTAGTTTTAACACAAACATTTATTTTTTCATATTGCACCAGTACAGTTAACGAGCAACCTGTACTTGTGTGCTTGTTTGTTCTGTCTAAAATGTTTATTTTGGAATAAAGAGGTTAATATAAAAAATATTTTTTGTCCGATTCTTCGATTAATCGAAAAAATAATCGTCCGATTCATCGATTTTTAAAATAATCGTTAGTTGCAGCCCTAAATTAATTGTATGCTTATTTATTTATTGAGCATTTATTTATTTCTGTATTTATTTTTAAATATGGCAGAGTTGGTCCTCCATATACAGCTCTATCTACAGCATATTTACATGCATGAAATGTCCCTTCCATGTTGCCGTAACTGCTGTATGTCAAGTTACTGAGGAACAAATGGGGTAAATGTGTGTTCAGAGTAAACATTACATAGATATCCAGTACCTTGTTTGGGTGCCTCGACCCATTTATTTCTACTGTGTAGTTCTGCTCATTTTATACCAGTTCAGTCCATAGATCTCTGATGGGAAACTTTTTCTTGCTATCGTTTCTTCTTGTGCAAATGCTGCAAAGCTGCATCTCTGACAGTCAATCTCACACATCTGCGACTCAGCACCTGTGTCTTACCTTAATACCTTTCCTGTCATAAGGCCCCTCTAGAAGTAGTGTTATCATTCTTCTATCTCCTATTAAGTGAGATCACATTGTACGATGTATTATTAATATGAACTGTTTCACATGAAACACTTGTACTGTACATACTATTCTCACCAAACTGTGATAACTGTGATTAAATTCAGTGTAAACAAATGCCATATGTTGCCACCCCTAAAAAATTCCTGCCCCCCTCTTGCCACCCCATAAATATTTTTCTAGATCCGCCCCTGTGTGACAGGAAACCCATCGATTAAAAGAGCAACATCTGTGCAGAAGTAACTTCAGCCTGTTAGATTGAGTGTAGTCATGTTATATGCCTATACAAAAACAACAAAAACATTTGATCCTGATTACATAAGGTAATCTACCCCAAGCACTCGTCCTGATAGTTTCTCATTAGTCCTTTTTGCACCTAAGAAGAATTCCTGCACCACCAGGCGCCATGGCACCCTCTGACTGCAGCCAGACGTGCCAACTGAGGCTACTTAATAGACCCCCACAGTCTTGCAGGACCTTGCACTTTATTGACAGCTCAGTGTGGTTGAAGACCAACCAATATTAAACAAATTAATTAAACAAATAGAATAGAAAATCCCTTTATTGCAGCAATATTTAACTAATATATTATAAGACCACTCCCCTTTAACAACATTTGGAAGTGAACACTTCTTTCCTTCAGTGTTTCTGAACAGTATGACATATATAGTGGGCAAAAACATTTAACTAATCTATTGATAACGTGAGGAGGCTCAAGTCTCATAGAAGAACAGCATTTACATCTGAGACATTAGCCTCTGGAAAATTACGTATTACTATGCTCTAGGGGTGTGAATAGGCAATAATTGGGCTAAACGTACCATAATACATGTGTTATGATATGATTTATCCCAATATCCCAATGCATTAACAAAGATGATATATTGCAATTTTTATAATAATATAGCCAATGGTCTAGCTGTAAAAAAAAAAAAAGAATGGTGGATTTTTTTTTTGTTTTTGTAGCATACATATTATATAGTCTATTAACCTAAAGCAATATGCATGGCATGGTTGTTACATGTCAGGTATGCCGGTCATTGACCTTTGACCAAGGCACCTTACAGCAGAACTGCAGTCAGTTCCTGCATATGCATGGCTATCACTGCCCCTACATAGTTAGGGACAAATGCAGAGGACTAATTTCCCACTGGGATCAGCTTCATAGTCATGGGAGGCCACTTTTTTGATTTTATTTATTTTGCTCAGGCTACTCGTAAGCTCACAGCCCGCCAAATGTGCAAAGGGCAATATTACTGCCATTAAGGTTAATATACAGTAGAAATTTTACACATTTGGTGATAAAATGTCACAGAGGATGGTATGGGGGATGGTTATTTAAAAAAGGGGATGATTTGCTGAATGCTGAATATAGCCCTAGAAAACCTCCCCAGGTCTTTTTGTTACTCTGCTGTATCGGGAGCAGGGCAGCAACGGTGCGCTGCCAACTAGCAGTTGGATTTTTAAGAGTTATATAAAAGTAAGAATGAAATGGATGTTTGTCTATTAGTATTCTTTACATTTAGATTTGCTCTGCTGAATTTTAAAACAATACCAATATAATGTAATGAAGTATTACAATATTTGTCTTCCCTCCCATCCAGCATGCATTTTTTCCCAACAACATTTTTTTCCCATAAAATATAAGTTTAGAAGGGTGTGTTGGTGACGCAGATAATCACTTTGAAAGTGGTGAAACAACAATCAACAATTAAAGTAAAGAAACATTTGACTTTTGGTGACACAGATGACCCCAGAGTAACAATACTGTTCAAAATGGGAGCAGGAATTAATATATCTTCAAGCTTGGCTTGTAACAAAGTAATTTTAATTCTCAACAATCTCTCACACATCTCCTTATGCAATTTCAAAATATTTCTATATTTTTGATATGGAAACTAATGAAACTATAGTAGACTATAAGCCTAAATCAAATTTCATGGAAATTTGTAAATGCATAACTTGTAATGTTAACCACATTTTCTAAGGATAAATGTAAACAAAATAAAAAATATATATACTTTGGGAACAGTTATTCATTCAGTACCTGTTGAAAGTCTGTCCATTGCTGATTGGTGGAAATATCTTTCAGAGTCTTAATGGCCACAAGCTGCGCCTGGTCCATGCCTGGCAGATAGAGATGACCCTTGTAGATCTTCCCTAGCGTGCATTCTCCAAGCTCCTCCATGAAACGCACCGCCGACATGGGGAGTTCTTTGGCTTTACCCTGTGAACACAAAACCTAATATCAGTGGGTTGCAAAGAGGTTACAGGAAAGCTGTGGTATTATTTTGCCCGAAGGGCCATTACTCTTTTATCAACATTATTTTCTGTAGAAATCCCAATATGGGGTATTTCTGTATTAATTATCTACCGGTACTAAAAAACTGGCTGATACAAATGAAAACAGGCTGAAGGTGTAAAATGATGTGGGGTGAAAAAATATCCCAGAAGATTATTAATTGTTCTAGACAGACTAAATCCATTACATCACCACTTAGTAATTTCCTTAACAATTTTGGAAAGCGGTTGGGGAAAAGGGGAAATCAGGCAACATATCGTATGCCTAAAAAATGGGATTTGGCTCTCAGCTCTCTCTCTAAGCATTTGGGGGAAAATGAACTCCCAAGTCAGTAAACCCAAGATTCTGCAGCAGAAATAACAGAAAAAAAGCTGTTAGGCTAATTGTGAAGGAGGGCTTGGAGTGCCACATATTAACTGAAAAAACAATTCCTTAATTTTTTATTTCTTTTTACATGCATGCAAGTGGGGAACAGAAATCCTAAAGCATTTAAATATGAGTTCTTGGAGACGAACAGCGAGAAACCCCAATTTTCCTTTAATAATGGGTTTAATTAGTTGGTGTGTCCTTCTGAATTTTTTTTTAATAATCCAGCTAGACTAGTAGAGTCATTGCCATAACAAGCAGACTGATCATGAAAGGTCAGTTAATAAGGTCATTATGCCATATTCGTATCAATAAAAAATAAGATGAGCATAACTACACTGGTCCTCTAGAGTTAAAAACTCCAGAAGACCAGCTTTATTTCTATTTCTATAGAAAACATTAATAGATTGGATTGTTAGTAAATTGTTTATGTGTGTATGAGAAGGAGTCCATTAGGGGTGTGTGAGGTTGGAGTTGGGAGGAGATGAAAAGTGAGCGAAGGCTGGCAGAGATTTTAAGATTCCAGGAACTCCGAGTTGAATAATGAAATTCCTCTGCGAGCACGACACACACATATGCTCAGGCACACGCACACACAGGTCAGCGGGAGCTCTGAGGGGGGTGTGAGTGTATTATATTAGGAGAAAAGCAGATGTTTTGGGTTATGGGTTTGTTTCACCCCTTTACTCCCACACCCAAAGCCTCAGATCCAAACTACACCACCACAGGTTTGTGTGTGTGAAGAAATCGTTTCAGGGTTTGGCCCTTCTATGACCCTAAAAAAAGCCTGCTGGGTAGCATCCAAATGCTAAAACATTGTGGAGTTTTAAATGATGTTTTAGAAGGAAAAAGTTATCCATGGTTTTTTTTTTTTTTTTTTAATAAAAATCTGAAAATTTGGACCTATTTATTATTTCTCAAAGCAGCATTATACATCCCCAAATAAAGAAATGACCTTAATTCAACAGTTCTCCCTAGGGAGCTGAGGGTCTTTCCTAGGACCCCAGAGTCATCATCTGTGGGATTTAAACCTGTAAACCTGCAGCCTTTCCATCTGGGGGTCATTTGGAGGTCTGTCTCTACAGACTTTTATCCATCCTTTGCAAAATAGCAACAACTAAGTCTGATTGCATGAGATGTAAAATAATCTATTTTCAATAAATATATATATATATATATATATATATATATATATATATGCTGTCTTAAAGGTATAGGGGAGGATTTTCTTTTTCTGGGTGGATCATCAAAATAAATGGTCCTCCTAATTGTTAGTCATTCTGGTCATATGTTTACATAAGGCGACCTGCTCATCCCTAGTTAGCTATCTTTTTCTGCGTATGCTCTTTGAAAATGGCCGTGGGTCATAAGAGTTTAAAAATAGCAAATGTTCTTTTGGAAAGTAGCAGCTCTTACTGGTAAGGGTTCACAAATGTAAACATCTGGAGACATCCTTTGATTTAGCATATTAATACATCCACTATCACAGATTGTGGAAAAATCCTGGAAAGAAATTACTGTCATTGTTAGATGGTATAAAGAGGCTCTGAAAATGCTGTAAGCAGCTGTGTTTTCTACTACACAAAGAACTTTATTAAAGTTAGCTTCCACTTCATTGAAACGAAGTGGAAAATAGTTCTATAGCATGTTAGAGTGACATACCCTGTTTATTAATGATAAATTTCCATCTCTGTAGATTTAAAATAATATGTTTTTTTAATTTTTTATTCATATTTTTTATGCAATGGCCTAATAGGTTCCGGTTTGTTATGTCTTTGAATGAGTCAAATAATGTGTAGGAAAATATATAAGTATTTAATACAGTTGGTACAACAATTAACTGTTTAGTACAATGATGTACTAAAAAAAGGAGAAAAAAAAAGCTTGTTATGAAAAGAGAAATTTTCACAATCAATTAATCGTTATTTGACCATTAAAATAAATCAACCTTAGAGTACATCATTGATCAGTGTTAGCCTAGTGGTTGCAAGTACCTGGTTCAATCCTCACAGCCTCCACTCTGCGTCTTTGAGTAAAACCCTTAACCCTACACTGCTCCGCAAGGGGATGGCTTAAATGCAGAGAGTGAATTTCTCCATTGTGGGACAATAAAGGAATTTCCATTTACATTACATTAATCACTAACGTGCTTGTATCCAAACATACATAGAAGAGCTTCAGTTTTTAAATCAGAGAAACATGTGTTCTGGCTAAAAATCCGAACCCTTTTAGTTGTAATGTAATATTAATGCAGATAATCAAATACTCTCCACTTTGACTGGTAAAGAAAATCTAGAAAATAAGAAACAGACATGGAATGGCTAAATGTGCAACCTTAAAGGAAGCATGATTCAGACCCTGATGTGAATTATACTCTGCCTGGTCATCTGCACTACAAAGTCAGGGGAGTAAAGACAGAATAAGATGTCCCGTAAAGGGGATGGAGGGAAAGGACATAAGAAGAGGATGGGATAAGTGAAAGCAGAAGTGTGAAGGAGAGCTGTGGAAAAACAGATAGTGGGAGAAAAATAAACAGAGGGAAAAAGCTGCAGCTGAACATTCCTGGACCTGCTGAGATCTGATGATAGAGATCTGAAGGTTTGCCTCATGCAGGTCATTTCCACACAACGAACCTTGTAACCTCGGCATGCTGCGAGGTGTCACAGCCAACAGGCAGGGTGCTGCACCGCTGTTTTGACTCCTTTAGTCTGCTCTTTCAGACAAAGAGAGTAGAGGGGCTTTCTTTGCGAGAAGGTTCAAGGGGGCCCAAACATGCAGTGCAAGTTAAAGAACTCAATTAAATTAAACTATGTTACTCTGTCAGACAAGGGTCTTTGTCCTACTGATTAAAGTCATAATGATGCGACTAAGAGATGAAGTAGCAATAGTTCCATCTGAGGTGTTGAGATGTGCAAGTGTTTTCCGAAAGCACTGAAAGCTGTTTTAAGCACAAATAAAGGTATATTAGACAAAAAAAGGTGAATAACACCACCCCTAAACAGCAGCCAGTCCTAATTCAAAAATCAGTTATTTAAGCTGAATTCTAACTTTATGGGATCATTTTCTTTTAACTGCAAATGAATAAAGTAAAGCAGAGACAGAGACACATTCACTTTGTCGCTATGTTTCGTGTTGGTGCATGTACTACCTTTGGTTTGTAGGGAGTTGTCAGCATAGACATCTCCACATTTTGACCTCGGACTGGTTTGGGTGGACGAGCAGCTGGAGGCCTGGAGGACTTCTGGTTGTTACGGCAAACGCAGATGAACAAGAAAAGCAAGACGATGGCCAATGGGATGGCCACACTGGGAACTAGGATGTAAAGGATCTCCATGCTGCCACTGGACTTATCTTTATGGTCTGAAACAGAGAAATAAATATGGTGTTAATAGTGTAACATCAATGTTAAAAAGTAAAAAGCACCACTGCCTCAAATGTTTCATAGATCCAGTGTCTCTGGAAGCTCTATTGCAGGCATGAACTTTGCAATGATTAGTTTTTCTCTCAAACAGAAAGTAAACCCGATTCATTTTTTTCTTGAATAAAACGATTGATGGGGCTGTTGCTGCCGTTAACTCTGTGTAGCCTCTTGATTTATTTCCCTTTTTTAAGGTAACTCTGGCCTTGTCCTTTTTTGTGTTCAGGTGTACGTCTTCCTCTTTAGTTGTTCTTCCAACGCAGTCATTCAAGTCTAGCTGTTTGCTAATGCTTTGAATAATAACTAATATCATTAATTCAGCTGTGTGAAATGATTAAAAGACCAGTTAAAAAAAAGTCAAACATTTATAAAAATCTGCATATCCGTATAAAGTCACAGAGCATGTGGGTAGGTAGGTGCTTACCTCCAGCATTCACTGGGTGGGAGAATGTACAAACCTTTTACAGGTCCCTATGTCTATCACAGGAAGGACTGTCCTTCCCCAACTAAAACAAGCTTGATATTTGAGGACAAAATGTTCACCTTAATGTTATTAAATAATTTCCCCATTAGTAGGTTCCACAAATCACAAAAACAACACTGTCCTGATATTGGCTTCTGACTATCGGAGTGTGGGATAGTGACATTTCATGGCTTTTTTCCCCCACTTTGCTCTAAGTTGCTATCTAACAGTTGGATTTACCAAATGAGGAATAAATTCTCCTTAAATAAAAACACTTATTCCTTCAGATTTTTCTCTTTTCCAATGTTGGTACCTTTATTTCCTTCTTAAAAGAAATAGAAATAGCACAATGTTCGGTGTTTTCAAATCAGACTTAGTTTAGAGTCCACAAGTGCAGTTCATCCTGGATTTGAAGTAATTAAGAAAGTGGGAAAGATTTTTCTTTTTTTTTTCAAAACCTGAACATTCAGTTTTGCTGAAAACGCTGAGAGATAAAATGTTAAGATCAGCTCACTGCTTCCCAAGGGGATGAGTTAAATGCAGAGAGTTAATTACATTGGTCTGTACTTGTGACAATTTAAAGATAATAAAATGCTGAAAAAAAAAGGTTGGGGGGTAGGCTTTGTGCTTTAGTGATATGCATTTGCGTTTTGGGTTTTTAAAAATGTTCCTGCAGCTTTGTGCTTCTGTAACGTGATCCTTTACTTCCACCTCTCTCTGTCCAACAGAGCTTATTTATCTAATTAACAAACCCTTCCAGAGTTCTAGTTCAGGAAATGCTGTTTAAATAAAGCCAAGAAAGGGTGAAGGAAGTCAGCTAGAAGATGATCAGATTATTTAAGAATGCATGAAAAGAAAAAAAAAAGCTCTTTACTCTCTTTCCAAGCTCAGGGTTATCAAAAACAAAACATGACAAAGAACTTTTTAAGAAGTTATTGAGAGGAAACAGCATCAAATTCTAACTTGAAGGTTTAAACCGAAGTGCCTCACCACAGACTGGAATGTCGCAGAGCTCCATGCGAACACCTTCATCCAGCGTGAAGCACCAGGGGGCCTCGTGTTTGTTCCCAGGGTTGCGGCAGTAAGAGTGCCCCCCATTCAGCTCGGTGTAACGGACTGCCAGGTAGGTGTGGCTGTGGGGATACTGGGAGTTCCACGGCTGACACTGGCGCCCCGATTTGGTCACACTCACGGTGCCTCTGTAATCTGCTCCAGTGTTGTTGTAACACTTGTGACCTGAGAAAAATAAAGGTGAGGTGTTCATTGCTTACACCCAATAATTGAACAGTGAACAGACATAAGTAAATACTCAAATTTAGAGCTAAACATATTTGATCAAAATGCAACAATAAAAGAAAATCTGTAATTGCTTTAGTCTGAAAGTAGAAAAGTGGTTTAAAGGCAGGAAAGAGGATTCTCTGGTGGAAGATATGTCCAACAGATGTAATTCTGAATGGTGTGCATGCATCAGTGCCCCCTCCTTCGCAAAAGTTCAATACGCTGGAAACACCTCAGCTCAGAATATTGTTTTTCACCTATAGAGGCAGTAAAGTGCCAGACTGCACCTAGTCAGCAGGAAATCTCCATAAGAACAAGTTGTTTTTGAATACAGTACTTACTACAGAATTAAACGTAATTAAATGGTTACCTGTCCAGCAGAAGTTTTGCGACCAAAGCATGTTTTCAGAACCTTTAGCAGCTTCAGGGCACGCTACCTCTGGAAAGAATCTCCTAACAACTTACTTAGTAAAATCCGTTCTCTCCCACTTTCTCATAATTGCAAGAATGCCATCCATTAATTAATTAATTTTAGATTAATGTAGACACTTAATTTCTGAGTAAAAACTCTTACATGACTTAAAAAAGAACACTAAAAGAGCAAAAACAGTCCTTTAACATATGCATACAGGTATTAACATAGCATCTATACACAATGGAAGACATTCTTTTTGGTCATAAACAGAAAAAATATAAATTTCTTGATATAAACATGGGCTTTATTGTAATAATTTAAATGGATAGGTGTAATCTCATTTGAGAAACTACAAAGAGGGTGAGCTTCATAAGTAGGGAGATCCAATTTTTCATCGCTCACAAAAAAGTTCATCTGTTGAAATAATATTTGTCCCAAAGATTGTCAAACATTTAGATACAAATGTAAGAGAAGGAATGACACAAAGCTCAGGGAGGAGGATAAAACACATTCCACACAGGAGCTGTGCAGGGAGGCAACAGCCAGACCCCCAGGATGGCTGCAGGTTCTAAGTATGAAGTTTTTCATGAATATCAAGAAAATGTTTACTTTTATTTAAAAAAAAAGCATCCCCTGACAGAAAACAACAACAAATGTTGAAATAAATAAAGAAAATAAATCTTTTCTGTAGATAAATCCTTAGAGGTAAAACAAAGACTGATCATTTTTGCGCTATGTGAGGTTTAAATAACCACTGCATGGCCTGCTAATGTAAACCATTTTGGTGACACAACTCTGCGCTTCAGATTAACAATTCTATCTGAAGCAGATTTTGACTTATGACAGAGTTCCCTGAGTTCTACACAGAGTCCTCTGGGGTCTCTCCACAGGTGGCTCTCTCCAGCTCCAATTGAAACTGGAGACATTTTTCCTGCTAGTTTCATCCTTGGTATGCACTGTGTTTTTCCCTAATGTGTGAGCTTGGATTTCTAGAGTGCTTTGCTCTTTTCCTTAATTGCTTTTGATGCATTTCTTAATTTTAGCCAGAGAATGCATGTTAGAGATGGGCTGTTTTGTTTGGTGGACAATAAGGTAATGTATGCCGCAGCAAACCAGTAGAGCAGTCTTACTTTTATCGATGGGCTCAGCCATGGGGATCCCAATCCGTAAACAGTTGGCAGCCTTCGGGCTGTCAGAGGCAGCCAGCTCCTCACAGTTGGGCAGTTTAAGGCTCTTCAGTATGATGGGGTTGGAACGGGCAATGATGTACTCAGTCTTGCATAGATCGTTCTCCAGTATCTCACATTCGTCCTTACAAAGGTCCCTAGGCCTGTCAATGCCTGAGGTACGGTCGCATGTTGGAAAGGCAAAGTGGCAAAGGGAAGGGATGGCAAACTGGGAGCAACGATCGGACAAGTGATTGGAAGTTCCGATCATGGTGAAGGCAGCTGAAAAAAACAAAAAAAAAAAACAGGAAAAGGTTGTGATTATTGGTAGAAGGAACAAATTAAGACATTCAAATTAATTTTAGAATGAAGAAAGATTATACAACTATTTTGAAGCGTTAAGTGAGACTCGGTCAATGTTACCAGTCTAGTTCAGTTCCCTGTCCAGTTCCCATATAAGCAACTCTGATCTTTTTTTATTTTCTTTTGCCATCAACAAGGCAGAAAAAATGGAATACAAAGAGGATTTTTTTTTTACTTATAACTCATAGCTGTACAGTTATAAAAAGCATTTGCTTTCTCTGTGGTTGTCATGACCACAGCAATGGCTCTGTCCCACGTAGGAATAACATCAAGACTACAGCACATATTGTCCTGATTAAAGTGACCATAAAGACAAATAAAGGTGACATTTATTCCAAGATGCTCGGTATCGATGCCAGAATTTAAACATACATGATATACAGCTGTCAGATTATTATGATACAATGGCTACATAAATCTGAAGTATTAGAGGTCCTTGATGTTTCGGATTGCTGTCAGGGTTCAGGCGATGTTTGGGCCATGAACCAGGGGGTGAAACCGACAGCTGCATGGAAGTCATCAATAACAAATAAGCAAAACAAAAGAACAGAAGCGGAAAGGCAGACATTTCTAAGAGTATGACACTGTGGGCCATGTGTGCTCCATAAAGAGAGGAGACAAAGCTGAACTCTCTCTGAACTTTGATGTCCTGCCTGCCTTCCCAGACATGACATCAAAGATTGAAATTTACAGATGAAAATTTATTTATTTTAAATAGAAACTTACACGTTTGAGGAGTATAGGAGATATGATGTGCATTAACAAAATCAATCAAAATAAATGTATTATACAAGGACAATTGCTTTCTATATTTTTTTTCTTAACTATTTGTACTGATCATTTTATGGGCATCTACACTTGTTGAAAAGTAATAATGCATAGATTGAAATATTAAATAAATCTTTAAGTCACTGGTATTACTGCTGGTGGAGGGGGTGGGGCTCATTTAAGTACTTTTTAAAGCAGTCAAAAATATCCCAAATACCTCAATAACCTTGAATAAAAAAACAAACAAAAAAAGCCCCCATTGCTCAATTTGTTATGATTATGGCCAAAGTTACTAAGAGTCACCATGAAGGCCCTTAAGAACCAAAAACAACGCTGACATTTTCCAATACTAATGTCAACATTGCAGGCTAAACGTTGGATTCCAACAAAAACAAAAGTGCTGGATCACATGTGAGAGTGTGATTTAAATATATAAGATGTCCCGTTAGTGTGATGCAAGAAAATACTAATATTCAAAAACAAATTTATTTTTATGTTAGAAAGAGACATGATTTAGTGTCATGGTGGCTGAGGTTCCAGCAAAAAGTTACTGTGATGGTAAATCTTTTTAGTTACGGTAATTAACGTGGCCAATTACATGGTTCAGGCCATATTTACACTGCAATGAAATAGATCTCGAAATAAACTTTATACGTACATGACCAGAGGTTATGTGCATTTTTTTTATGTCTAACTTGCTAATTTCAGCTGAGAATAATTTGGGATTTCATTTTTTTTCCCTCAAGGAGTGTAATATATAAAAGAGGAAAACTATATTTCAAGGTGTTTGACAGAAATGTTTTTTAATGCAGCTAAACATTTGCAAGATTTCGAAATTATTATGTTTCAACATTTATTATCATATTCCAAACCTTTTTATATTTATTGAAAAAAAATAAGGGAGATATAATTTATTGACCAAAAAATGGAGAACGCTTAGGTTTTTGGTAGATTTAATAAGTATGGTTATTTCTTTCTTTTTTAATAGAATTTTAAATTAAGATTAAAATTTTTTGAAATATATAATATATATTTTTTAGATGTGTAAGATAAATATTTAATCTTTAATGACTAGAAAAGAGTCATTCCATTTTTCGTCAGATTGGTAACGTATTTCCACCTTGGGCGCAAAAATCTTTGCCCATTCGTTATAAGTTGTACATGCGCATTAGCTCCTCTGCAATACAAAGGTATAGGAGAGCTTGGGGCGCAGCTCTGGTGTGCCTAGAGCTGACAGGAAGTGTATCTACTCGCTAACTAACCATAATGGCGAACTGCATGTCCGACGCTAAAGCTTTATTCTGCTTTTCCTGCCTTATTTCTTAAAGGTCTGGATCTGACCCAGCATGGATAAAGACAGGTAGGACTGATTTAAAGCACTTTTTCCCCCTCAGTGTCCTGTCTGGGAATGTGGCAATAATAATAATTACATTGATGCCAAAAAGAGCCAAATAAGGCGCTTAAAGAACCTTTTAGAAAAGGCAAAGAAGTATGAACAATTTGGGATCGTATCGAAAATAATATAATATAGTGTACTTTTTCTAGGTGTTTATTAATTTGCATAGTAGCTCTTAAACAAACACATTCTCATAAAATAAATAGTTTTTATATATTAAAAAATATAAAGCTCACTAATAGCTTCTCCATTATTAAACTGCAAAAATTGGTTTTTGGTATATGTCTATTTTGAATTTATAGCTCCACCAGCCGCCAATGGAGAAAACCCCCTAAAATATTTTACAACATTTGACCTGCAAACTATTTTTTTTTCTTTTTTATTTCTGTCCATTTCATTGGTGCATCACTATCTTAAAAATGACTCCTTCATGTTCCCAGCTATAAAATCTGCTTGATCAAAGATGTGGTTTGAATCTTTTACTGTAGATAAAATTAAGTGCTGTGTTTACTTCCATTCAAACTGGAAATACTATTTGATGAGATATAAAAATGAAGAAAAAGGTTAACGTATTAATAATACAAGATAACAAATAAACTACAGCACAAGTGTGTTTTCCCCACCTGTGATCTGAGTCTCAATCTCCCCCTGCATCTGCAGGGAATCGACGTAGATGCTGCGGTTTCCGATGAAGCGAGCACAGGCTATGCCTCTGTAGGGCTGGCAGAATCCATCTTCATTCAGATCCACCCTGACAGCACAGCAGAACAGGGAGAATAATCACTTTAAAGTCATCTGAAGACTAATACCACATATTTCTGGGTAACTTCAAGGGACAACCAAAAAGAAAAACAGATGGCAGCAGGAAGAAAAAAGCTGCTAAAACCACATAGCTGCAGTAGATAAAATCACCTCAAGGGGTCAGTCCAAGTTTGACTATTGGGTGAAATCATACTTTTATCTAAGAGCCCGGTTCTAGTTGCTGTAGTTGCTGCTGTGTTTGCTTGGCTAAAGATAAGTCACACTTTTGTCAAAGGCTGAGATTCAAAAAAACTAATGCATTCAAATCACAGTTCACAGCACATACGTAAACCGCATTAAGAATTAATATTTGGCTGATGGTGGAGAAATGTCACTACAGGCTGTAATTTAAAACATGTGCAGAGCTGTCATGGCTTCACATGCATTCAAATTCCACTTAATTTGAGGGATTTTCTATGTCTTTTACACCATCTTTTTACCTCTTTTAAACTCCCCCCAACACAACCTTGGTCTTACTCACAGTGGCCTGATCTTTCACCTCTCCTGTTCTATATATACACATAAACACACACACACACACACACACACACACACACACACACACACACACACACACACACACACACACACACACACACACACACACACACACACACACACACACACACAAACCACATGCATACTAGCAAGCTCCTCGCTCAGTGTGAGATCACTTAGTCTTGAGCTTTAAGTCATGCCATATGGAGACTTTAAAACCAGGCGAAGCCACATTAAATAGTACAGGGGAGGACATGATGCCACTGGGCATAGAGACACGTCATTGGCTCATGTAAAGTACATCCTCATGCCTCAGAGTCAGTAGTTGAAATAACAGCAAACAGAAGCAATATCTTTTAATTAAACTTTGGATGGATAAACTGCAAAGACTTGAAAAACAGATTTGGAAATATATGTACTAGGATGCAGTGCCAGGTAAACTACCAGCTTTTTAAAAGCCTCAAGTCTTTCGGGGGCAGTGACTCTGCTGCATAAATCTCATGTCAGCAATCTTCCCTGTGATTGTGAAAGCCTTTCAAATGCAATTCCATGGCATTAAATTTACACTTCAAACCGGTTTTACATTAAATTCAAATTTTCTGTGAGCCATCTATATTAACAGACATTGGTGTTTTGGAATAAATGACTCAAACAATTTTTGGATAATGTTCCAATTTATGAAATGCACCTGTCCAATTGTCATCGGATCTTTAAAAAAAAAACAATAATCTCAAGGTGAATACAAGACATTAGTGGTAGGGCTGGGCAATTAACTGCAATTGCAATATAATTGATATTTAACAAAATACAGTTTTCAAATCACAAAGGCACTCATTATTATTGGCACTATATTTAGGTGGTGGTTAAACACTTGAAGTGGGTTTGTCGTCAAAGGTAGAGAGAGTTGCAGCTAGCATGCAGATCCATGCATGCAGGTAGAAGTAAATACTTTTTCATGCAATAGTGCTTTTCATGCATGTTAATGACCTGTACTTATACACTCACCGGCCACTTTATTAGGTACACCTGTCCAACTGCTCTTTAACACTTAATTTCTAAGCAGCCAATCACATGGCGGCAACTCAGTGCATTTAGGCATGTAGACATGGTCAAGACAATCTCCTGCAGTTCAAACCGAGCATCAGTATGGGGAAGAAAGGTGATTTGAGTGACTTTGAACGTGGCATGATTGTTGGTGCCAGAAGGGCTGGTCTGAGTATTTCAGAAACTGCTGATCTACTGGGATTTTCACGCACAACCATCTCTAGGGTTTACAGAGAATGGTCCGAAAAAGAAAAAACATCTAGTGAGCGGCAGTTCTGTGGGCGGAAATGCCTTGTTGATGCCAGAGGTCAGAGGAGAATGGCCAGACTGGTTCGAGCTGATAAAAGGGCAACAGTGACTCAAATAACCACCCGTTAAAACCAAGGTGGGCAGAAGAGCATCTCTGAACGCACAGTACGTCAACTTTGAGGCAGATGGGCTACAGCAGCAGAAGACCACACCGGGTGCCACTCCTTTCAGCTAAGAACAGGAAACTGAGGCTACAATTTGCACAAGCTCATCGAAATTGGACAATAGAAGATTGGAAAAACGTTGCCAGGTCTGATGATTCTCGATTTCTGCTGTGACATTCGGATGGTAGGGTCACAACAGCGTCTACAACATGAAAGCATGGATCCATCCTGCCTTGTATCAACGGTTCAGGCTGGTGGTGGGGTGTCATGGTGTGGGGAATATTTTCTTGGCACTCTTTGGGCCCCTTGGTACCAATTGAGCATCGTTGCAACGCCACAGCCTACCTGAGTATTGTTGCTGACCATGTCCATCCCTTTAAGACCACAATGTACCCAACTTCTGATGGTACTTTCAGCAGGATAATGCGCCATGTCATAAAGCTGGAATCATCTCAGACTGGTTTCTTGAATATGACAATGAGTTCACTGCACTCAAATGGCCTCCACAGTCACCAGATCTCAATCCAATAGAGCATCTTTGGGATGTGGTGGAACGGGAGATTCGCATCATGGATGTGCAGCCGACAAATCTGCGGCAACTGTGTGATGCCATCATGTCAATATGGACCAAACTCCCTGAGGAATGCTTCCATTACCTTGTTGAATCTATGCCACGAAGAATTGAGGCAGTTCTGAAGGCAAAAGGGGGTCCAACCCGTTACTAGCATGGGGTACCTAATAAAGTGGCCGGTGAGTGTATATTGCTTTTTCAAGTCAGGAGACTTGACCAAAGCACTTTACACTACATTCAGTCATTTACACACTGATGGTGGCAAGCTACATTGTAGCCACAGCTGCCCTAGGGCTCACTGACAGAAGCGAGGCTGCTGTACACTGGCACCACGATGCCCTGGAGTCCTGGACTCCTGGCAAGCACACCTTCAAAAACTTAAACATCAACAAGTTTAGGGTTGGTGCAAAAGAAAATCGAAATAAAATCGCAACCGCGATCTGGTTAAAAATAATGCAATTTAGATTTTTGGCAAAATCGTTGAGCCATAGTAAGTTCATGGACAGAAGTAAAATTTTTATAGAATAAATGAATCAGTTAAACAATATTAATAATAATTCTGTATCCAACCTGCAGATCCAACAGCAGATCCAAGCCGATGGAGGGGGAAAAGGCAGAGTTTGATCTTTGGCAGATTGGTTTGCAAAATTCAATATTAATTTCAGAGGAATTGGAACTACCCTTAGTGTTTAAATCTGCAACTCACAAATAAGAACCCATTGCCATCCACATTTGCAAAATCATGCAAATCACAAACACTGTTCCAGTGATACTAGGAGGGTGGGTAAGCTTGGTGCGAGTCAGGGGTCAGTAGGTTCCCTTTCTCTGAGGAGGGTTAAGTGACTGAGAGGCCAAGGTCAGTTCACCCTTACCCCTGACTGTGCACATCTTAATGGACTTTCCAGACACAGATGCACACAATAAAATATAAAGCACTGGTTCGCTTACTGTCTGTTCCCAATATCGCATTTAAAGGTGGTTTAAGCAGATTATATCCTTAAAATATGGATATTCCTCCAAAAATATTGACATTAAAGTGAAATTTGTAATGTGTTCAGCCTGCAGGAGCCTTTACAGACCTGCAAAAGCCACAAATGCGGACACATCTTTAGAAAAAACACACCAAAAAAAATAATAATAATAATAATAAATTCTTTAGGGTAAAAAAAAGGAAAAAAAAAAAAAAAAAAAAAAAAAAGATTAACCATAAATGTAGATAATGAAAATGATTTAGCAAAAACGGCAAAGCTGGTTTAATACATGTACATTTTCCGGAGTGATTAGTTCCTGAATAAGATGAAGCACAATTAAAAGAAAGTAAGACCACAGGAAAGCACACACACACACACAGGCGTGCAGAGACATGCACAAAAATAGGTTGGTGAGGGCTGGAGTGTGTCCAGGCAGCAGTGCGTCACAGAGAATGTGGGACACACACAACCGTGCGAGGAGAAAGCCACACACAGGCAAGCAAATGACAAGGCATAGCAGACAATCCACCACGACTCAGTAAGATCTCTGCGGTCAAATAATAACTTTGCATGACCGAAACGCTCTTTAACAGAACCAGGTCTTTTCAAATGACAAATTACCTAAACTATCCTAATGGGTCGTAATTTGTTTTAGAAAAATTGGATTTATAGTAGCCCTGTTTGAAACAAATTTATTGAAAAATTTTAAATCTTGCATCATTTCATTGTGTGGTGTGTTTGTGAGCGAGCAAATCACAGGGAAAGAAAGCTGAATGCGGTTGCTATTTGGGTAAACATTTGACAGTTGTTTGGGGCTTTTATTTTACACACCAATGCCACGGGCCCTCTGTATAGTGTTTTATAACCTTCAATTATAAGGAAGCTTTTCCCACTCAAACTTGATCTACGATGGAAAAATAAAGAGAAAGAGAAGGCTTTATGTGAAAGATGAACAGGAGACTAAATGTCCAACTCAATTTTTCCTAGTCATTTTATTCTATCCCTCAGGTATGCAAGAGGTTCGCTCTCTTTTTCCCAAAACTACAGGAAGCTGGAGCTGAGCAGCGGATGCAACTTTAGAAAAAGCTTCGCTATAAAAATAAGCCTCTGTCTACCATTTTATATTGGAGCTTTAAATTAGGGATTGTCCAAAAAAAGGGGAAGAAGGACCAAAATATTTCCATGCAGAAAATGTTTAATACTTGTTGTGGCTTCCCTTATGAAAGACAATAGACAAATGGTGACAACAGAAAAAATGTAGAAAAAGACATCTATACATCTGTACAGATGCTGCAAAAGACTTGAGACTGGGTAAATAATCATCTTCCAGCCATGTGACTGTGGGCATGTAGAAGGACTTGAATTCTAGAAATTTGTGACAAAATATACAACCTAAAAAAAAGATCCAATCTAATCTGAAAACTCTTGAGTTATTATGCAAGTAGAATAAGAG